AGTTTGCACTATATATGTATTTATAAGTAATCCAAGTCCACTTTCAAATAATACTGTATTGCTTTATAGTAAGGCATGTACTTTATAATAACAAAACATCATATTCCTAATTCCTTCTGCCTCCTACATCGTTATCATTCATTTCACTTGTGCATAAGCCGTGATTGCTGAATGAGTTTTTTGCCTTTAAGAAGGGAGTTTTTAAAGAAAAAGTACTTATGATAATGACCTTGTCCAGTAACTGAGCATCAGTAGTTCTTTCTTTTATCCCATTGTGTAGATGTACCCATTTGCTTATTCATTTACTTGTCAAAGGACATTTGGTTTGTTTTCAGTTTGGCTGTTACAAATAAAGCAGTTGTGAACACTTAATGTTTTTGTTTTGTTAACTTTTCATTTCTCTAGAATTATAGGCCAGGAGGACAATTACTGAAGTGAATGGTGCATATATGTCTAGCTTTATAAGAAACTGCTGAACCATTTTCCATAATTGCCATGTCATTTTCAGTTCCCATCAGCTATCTATGAGAGATCCAGTTTCTTTACTTCCTCAACAGGATTTAGTGCTGTTGGTAGTTTTTATTTTAACTATTCTAATAGATGTGTAATGATACATTACTGTTTTAATTTTCAGTTCCCTAAAGACTAATGATTTTGGAATATCTTTTCATGTGTTTCTTTTCTGTTTGCATATCTTTGGTGCTTTATTAAAATCATTTGTGCATTTTCTAATTGGACTGTTTTCTTACTGTTTTGAGCTGAGAGTTCTTGATATATTCTGTTGTAAGGCCTTTAACATATGTGATTTTCAAATATTTTCTTTTAGTTTGTGGCTTGTCTTAGCAAGGTCTTTCATAAAAAGCCAAATAATGTAAAACCCAATAGTACATCAACTTCTTTTTTTATAGATTATGCCTTTGCATTCTAAGCATGCTCCTAACCCTAGTTCCCCAAGACTTTTTTCTGTGTTTTCTCCTGAAAGTTTTATAATTTTATGTTTTATATTTAGATCTATGGTACATTTTAAGTTAAATTTATATATAGTATACGATGATGGTTAAGTCAATGTGCTGTCCCCCAATGTTATTGACCATATGTTCTAGCACCATTTGTTTAAAACACTACTTGTTTGTCTGTCTACTATTGAATTATGTTTGCATCATTGACAAAAGTCAATTGGCTATCTTTTCATGGGTTTATTTCTGGATTTTTCTTGTTGGTATGTCTGTCACCACTGAAGGGCTGAATTTAATTTCTTTATTCTTACTAATCGCTGACTGGCTTGTTTGCAAACTAACAGAGTGGTAGGAATTTTAAATTTGTATTTTGGGAGATAGCAACTTTATATGTATGACATTAAACTGTATCAGACATAGATTTTCTTTTTTTTTTTTTTAGGCAAACGTAAAGTTTCTTAAGCATATTAGTTATATGCCTCAGTAAAAGTTAATTCTCATTTTTGTTACTGATTTCCTTACAGTGGTAATATTGTATGTTTCATGTACATTAAAAATTGAAATCAGTATAGGAAGTGGGATATTGTAAGAGGTTAAAAGTTGTTTTGAGGCAGGGTCTTGCTATACAGTTCAGTCTGGCCTTGAACTTGCAGAGATTCTCCTGTTTTAGCCTCCTGAGTACTGGGATTACAGGTGTGCACCACTATGTCTGGCACATGGACATAGTTTTTTTTTTTTTTTTTTTTTTTTAAAGAAATCAAATAATATGATGGACTTAAAAAATTGCACTACCTTCCTTCCTCCTTGAAACTCTTTTTTCCCCACTGGGAGTCACTTTTAAATTTAATAGCTGCTGTTCTCATTATTTATCTTATTTATTAACACTGTACATTTAAAAAAATTAGTAATTTTAGGTATTTTCTGTTGGTACCCTACCTGTTATGGAAGATGAAAATGTGACACTCTTAGAGCACTCCACTTGTTTTTCTATAATCTCAATTTAGTTGCCTCTGAATTTTTGGTTAAATTTTTATTTACTATTTATATGGTAGTGCTTAGATACATGTAAATACTGATTACTGTTGAATTGAGTCTGCTTACATGACCTTTCTTGAACAGTTTTTGATTTTCCCAAAGTACATAGTCTTTCTTTTTTAGGTGGTGGTTGACACTGGGAAATGAACCCAGGTCCTTTGAACAGAACTATATTCTCTGTCCTTTTATATATTTTTTAAAGCAAAATAAATACTTTGTTGTTTTAATTTTTTAGAAATCAGCCTTGTAATCAAAGCAACTTGGTTGAAGATAACAATATGTGTTATAACAACCACTGTTAATTCCTATAATTTTGTTTTGAAACCCTGTATTATTTTTAATGTTTTTGCTTTGTTTTATTTTTATCTGTGATGTTGGTATTTTGCTATTGTTCTTTTTTTTTTTTTTTTTACTATTCTCTTTAAAATAAAAAAAAGAAATCAGCCTTTATGTGACATTTCAAACATTTATAAACCTTTGAGATATTCTTTCAAAGAACAGTGTTAACATCTGGACCACTTTACCTTTTCATTTTGAGATAGTGTCTCTCTAAGTTGCTCAGTTGTCCAATCTGGGCTAGAACTTTTTTTTTTGGTCTTTTAGAGACAGGGTCTTACTGTGCAATACAGGCTGGCCTTGAGCTCGCTTTGTAGCCCAGGCTCGCCTCAAACTCGCAAAGATTCCCCCTGCCTCAGTCTCCCGAGTGCTGGGCTTACAGACATGTGCCACCACTCCCGGCTTGGGCTAGATCTTTTGATTTTCTTGCCTCAGCCTGTCAGTGTGCGGGGATTGATTACAGGCCTACACTACCATCCCCAGCTAAAATATATAAATCTTTAAAAAATCAATTGTGGTGTTCCCTGTGTGACTTTTTTTTTTTTTTTAATCAATTCCAGATTTTCCTACAGTATTGTAATACTCCACATAATTAAAGTCAGACAGATCCAGTGACCTATCAGCTCTATTTTTTCTTCTAGAGATCCTGAAGCCGTTTGACTGCTACACAGTCCTGTGGCTTCGCTTTATCACTATCCTGTGTTGAATCCATGTTTTTGAATTCTGTCTTCCTTTTTCTTGCCTTATTCTTTCATATATGGGGTGCCTGGGAGGTGTTTTGAATCTTGGCAAGTCAGAAAAATGCCTTCATTCTACCCACATACTTGGTAGATTGGCTAACTCTAGATTTCTAGGTAAGTCATCTCCTCATAATATTTTAATGCCATTGCTTATCTGTCATCAAGCTTCCAGCAGTGCTGCTAAAAGTTGAGAAACCAATCTTTTCTTTTTAAAAATTAACACACAAAACAGTTGGTAACAGGGTAATGTAATAAAAACCCATGTAGGTACTGTCCATTTTAGCAAATGTAAATTTTGCTCTTGTGCTTCATTTCTTTCTCTTTTTCCTTTTCTTTCTGTCTGTGCCTCTCTCCAGTGCTGGAGATCATACCCAGAGCTTTGTACATGCTAGTCAAGCCCCCTTTTCCTTTAAATATTTATTGATACTGCTGCCCCTCTCTGTGACCTTTCTGATACCATTAGAATTTGCTTGTTTTCCCCACGTGTTTTACTACTCATGCCAGATATTAATATATCCATAAAATTGTTTGCATGTTTTAAAATGTTTTTTCCTTCTCTTTCCTTTTCTTTTTGGGGTCTCTGTCCCCATGACTAGAGAAGGTGGAAGTGGTGGGAAGCATTGGGCTGAGGGGCAGGTATGGAGGAGCTAGAGCAGTGTTTCTCACTCCTGTTCTGTGACGCAGCTGCGCATGTGCCCTGGGAGAAGCCTGTGTCCTCAGATAAGCAACTCAGTTGACTTCTGAAGAGAACATGGAAATTCTGACCTTGGCTTTAGTGCTTTCACACAATGAAGAGGCACATAAGTAAAAGTTAGTCACTAATAAAAATTTTCATCTGACCTGAGCTTTCTTTGGCCAATGAGCCCATATTGTTTTCTTTTCTTGTGAAAATAGTGTAATTATTATGCATCTTGTCACCATTTTCCTGTTCAATGAGACACTGTTTCTGAGCAAGTTGAAATATAACATGGTCTAGAACTATGTTAAGTGTGATTTGAGGAAGACAGTGTAACTCATAAATTTTTCTCTCCTGCTCCACCACCTCCCTTCTCCAGAGGTGATGGCTGCTAGCAGTTTCTTTGGACTTCTTTAGACCTAGTACCAGGTTATTTAAGCTATACCCCATGTCGTCTTTCAAAGCTAAATATAAATGGTAAGTAAAATGTGCTTGTATATGTAAACACAAATACAGCAACTTATTCTCTTTAATGGCTAAAGAGTCACTATAGACTATATTTAATCAGTTTTCTACTGATGGACAGTTTTTTTCCTTAATGGCCAAAATCACTCTCTCCTTCCTTGAACATACTGTTTGTTACCTGCTAGTCTAGATATTGGGGCTAGGAAGATAAATGAAGATAGCTGCTGTCATCAAAAATAAGATTCAAGGCTTGGGAAAAGGTGCATGTTAGTGAATACCATGGGTGCAGTACAAGAGAGGAGAGCAGCAGTACACGTGACTCCTTTGGAACTGGCAGCGCTTCCACCAGAAGCGTGTAATTCAGGACAGTCCTGTCCCCCCTCCTCCTGAGTGTAGGTAGCTTGTGGCAGCTTTTTTGTACATTCGCTATCCTGTGGCTGTATTTCATTGGCACCATCATCTCTGTTGTAAATGAGCCCCATTTTCAGACTCTTTGTTATTAGTAAGTTACCATTATTAGGAATTCGCTGTGAGATTTTCTTGGGCAGAGGTATGCTCATCCTAAGATCTGTGGTTCAAGTATTAAGTTGGAGGTTTGTTTTTTTTGTAGCTAAGATAAATTTTGGTTCCATTTTCCCCCTTGTAACCTTGTATCTGATATCTAATATACTTACAAATAAAGGGAGGTGTGATTTCCATTATAAAGTTTATAGTTTTTAAATAAGCCAGATTTAGGAAAAGAATGGTGACTATTTTGAACAATGTTGAATCTTCTTCCTTTTTTTTTTGTAGGTTGTCCTGTGGAAATGAAGGTGTAGAGCCCACATTAGAAGATGGGGTCAAATAGCAGCAGGATCAGTGATCTTCCTAAAAATGAGTATTTAAAAAAGTTATCAGGCACAGAATCTGTCTCTGAGAATGACCCGTTCTGGAATCAACTTCTGTCATTTTCTTTCCCTGCACCAACTAGCAGGTAAGAGATTGCCTGAAGATAAAAGGCAAGGTGAACTTGTGTGATATGTTGCTTTTTTTGTTTGTTTGTGTGTTTTTTTGTTTTTCTTTCGGTACCAGGAATTGAACTCATGACCTTGCGCTTGCCAGGCAGGCACTTTGCCGCTGAGCTAGATCCCCAGCCCCGATATGTTGCTTTTTAAAACATGTTTTTAGCCGGACGTGGTGGCGCACACCTGTAATCCCAGCACTTGGGAGGCTGAGGCAGGAGGATCGTTGCAAGTTTGAGACCAGCCTCGGCTACAAAGTGAGCTCAAGGGCAGCCTGAACTGCATTGTGAGACCCTGTTTCAAAAAAAAATCACAAAAAACCCCCCAAAAAACCCATGTTTTTAGTGATAGTGTTGTATTTGTGTCTGTCATGCATCAGTAGAAAGAGGGAAATAAATTTCTCTCTCTCTCGTGTTCTACCACCTCCCTTCTCCAGAGGTGATGGCTGGTAGGAGTTTCTTTAGAATCCTTCAGACCTTGTACAGGGTTGTTTAAGCTGTACTCCATGTAGTCTTTCAAATTTATTTTAATGTAAATAAGTAAAATGTGTCTTGTGTATGTAAGCATATATGTAGCTGCTTTATTCTTTTTAATGGCTGAGGAATAACTATAGAATATATTTAATCAGTTTCCTATCGATGGACATTTAGACTGTCATAGTCTTTTGTTGTAATAGATAATGCTGTGTACATTATTTCTCATGCATAGAATTCGAGTATTTCTCATACTAGAATATGTCTGTAGTATAAATTCCTTGAAGTAAGACAGGTATAGTGGCTTATACCTATGATCCCAGATAAGATAAGAGGCAGAGGCAGGAGGATTGCAAGTTTGAGGCCAGGCTGGGAAACTTAGTGAGACCCTGTTTAAAAGAAAAAGGGCTAGGGATGTATGTCAGTGGTAGAATCCTTGTGTAGCTTTGGGCCCCACCCCGCAACACAGAAAATAACAAAAATCAAAAACCGCTTGAAGTGAAATTGCTAGCTCAAAGCATATGTGGATCTGTAATTTTGGTAGGTATGTCAGATTGTTCCGTGGAAGTGTTTTTCTCCTACCAGCTATGTATGAGGTCAGTTTCTTCACATCTTTGTTATTTAGTGTACTTCTTTTTTTAAGATAGGGTCTTGCTATGTAGTTCAGGTCTTAAACTCATGGCGATCTTTCTGCCTCAGCCTCCCAAGTGCTGGGATTACAGGGGTTCACCACTGCACCTGCTTTTAATGTACTTTTTGACCTTTTTTTCTTTTTTTTTTAACAGGGTCTTCCAAGTAGATCAGGCTGGCTTTGAACTCATTGTGTAACTCAGGCTGACATCTAACTTATGTGATATTTTTGTCTCAGGGTCCCAGAAGTGCTGGGAATACAGATGTGAGTCACAATACCTGGCCACTTTTTGACTTCTGACCATTGCTATTTTTGTTTGTTTGTTTGTTTGTTTGTTTTGAGGCAAGGTCTTGCTATGTAGTTCACACTGGCTTTGAACTCACTGTGTAGCTCAGGCTGGCCTCAAACTCATGGAAATCCACCCGCTTCAGCTTCCCAAGTGCTGGGATTGCAAGCGTGTGCTGCCATGCCCAGCAAAAGTTAAACATTTTAATTTTTTAAGTTTTTAATTTTTTTTTTGTAGTACTGGGAATCGAACTCTGGAATGAACAACCCCACTAGCCAGGCAGGTGCTCTGCCACTTAGCTAAATCCCTGGTCCCTGAACCTTTTAAAATATAGCAATAGGAATAACTAATTAGCCATTTTTGTCTTTTTTAACCTCCAAGTTTGCCATACTTATCTCAGTGCTTTGTAGTATGGTTTGTTTTGTTAATTATTCCTTTTTTTCAAATATCTTTTGGTGTTCTCATGTGTTTATTCTTTTTGATGTCACTCCCTTTTCTTAGTGTACCCTAGTTTACAAAGAAAGGTATACATGAATCTTAGAGAGTATAAAATGCTATGAAGTAAATATAGTGCACGTTGTAGGTGTGTGGGGGTAGTACTCTTAGTTCATTTGTGGGTTGAATATATTTTGGTAGCACATACTTTGTCGCTTCATTTGCTGTTTGAGAAAGTGACAGTTTATTAGCGAGGAGCTTTGCTATTTGGTGATGGTGATGGTATGTGATTTTGAGGTTGAGTAGGCTTTGAGGTGGCAGGCCGTTCCTTGTTGTCACTCAGGAACTGGAATTGCCTTCTTTATAAACTATTCAGGGCTAAGATGAACCTCTGTAGGGAGGATTCTGAATTTAGATATTTCCGACATTGTTCATTCCTGGAATTCCTTGGATCCATAATGCTATTGTCAGATGTAGTCTATTTTTGTAGCCAAAAATTGATATCTGCCAAGTTTTAGAAACACAAATAAGGCCTTTAGGACTAAGATAATCCTCTATACTATTAGCTATTTTTAGCATTAGAGTAATCAGATTTTGTTGAGTTTCCAGGCATGGTTGCAAAATCTTTCTTACATTCTTCAGTAGTTTTAATTTTTCACCTTATTATTGTTAATTATGAAGCAGAGGTCGGAAATCAAGTATAAGTCAAGAGTAAAGTTTAAGTAACATACTATGTATTTTTGTGATAAAAAATTTAATTATTCACATACTGATTTTATATATATTTCTAAGTTATATAATGGTAGCAAAAGTGCACACCAATCTGTGCTTACTATTTTTTTAGTTTGTAGATATCTGAATAGCTCACGTGAGGATAGGTGCATGTGAACAGATAAATGTATGTCATACTTATCATTAAGAACTGCAGGACAAATTGAACTTTCACTGTGTATGGATCTACTCATTTATTTTTCAAGCTATAATGGTGAGGCAGACAGAAGATGCCACTTGCCCTCTAAGAGTTTATAATTTTTTTTTTCATTTTTGGTATCGGGAATCGAACTTGGACCAGGCAGGCACTGTGCCACTGAGCTGGCCCTTATAATCTTATTTGTAATCTTATATATCCCTGTAATCTTATATATTTGTAATCTTATATATCCCTGGCCCTTATAATCTTATTTGTAAGCTATCAGTTGACCCTGGTGGTGTGTGAAAAAGGCTGTTGCGGACATGTATTGGGAAGCATGAACACACCAGGGGTATTTCACCCACGTTGGAGTGAAGCAGTTTAGGCCAGAAACTTCCTGGAAGAAGTAGCATTCATTTGTTTATTTCATTTATGTTTTGAAAGGTAATTACTTCCTATAGTTTGAATTTCAGAGCATGCTAAAGAGTATTTGATGAAAGGTCTCCTTTCCATTCCTGTCCCCAGCCACGTGATTATTCCTTTTGGAGGCAGCCAAAGATGACCTTTGAGCTGATACCTGAGCCAGAGGACAGGGGCTGGGAGCAGAAGACTGGTCCAGGTAGAAGGAGCAGCATGAGGAAGGCTTGGTGGCGAGGAAGAACTTGCCAAGTGTTTGGAACTGAAGAGGAGTGGTGGGGGGAGAAGGTTGGACGATCTGAGAGTTCTTACAGACATATTAAGAGTTTCAGCTTTTTCCTAATATCAGTGGAAATATCATGCCCTGAGGGGGCATGATCAGGTTTTTATTTGATATTCTCTTTGCATCACCTTGTGATAGTCATTCTGTCCTTCAGAAATTATTATTTCTTGATTACACAGTTTTTGTCTTTCTTTACATTTATTTTTTATTAGTACAGGTATTCCTTGTTTAACATCCTACTTGTTTAATGATATTCAGACTTGGACTGAGGTATGCTGTTCAGGCTTAAGACCTGCCACTGTGACTTATGACCATCTTTTTTTTTGAGACATGGTCTTTCTGTATAGTTCAGGCTGATCTTGAACTCACTATGTAGCCCCAGACTGACCTCAAACTTGTGATCATCCTGCCTCAGCCTCCCAAGTGCTGGGATTACAGACTTGGGCCATCACACCCAGCTTCATCTTTTTTTTTTGTACAGTTCTGTACATCTTGTTTGTAGAGCCTCAGTATCTTCTTTGTAGTACACCTTGCTTATACAGTACTGTAATTTTTTTGATTGTACAGTAAAGTACTATAGTTTTATGTTATATGTCACAGAACTGCATATGTTATATGTCACAGAACTGCACAGTTATGCAAATAAAAGCAGTCATCAGGTTTGAGTTTCCTTTGAGTATTTCTTTGTTCTCAGTATTGTAATGTACACCTATATGTAATTCTTCATTTAATGACCAATTCATTTAACAACCTAGTTGAAGGAATGCAGTTTGGTTGTTAAACGAGGAAATACATGTTTATAATACATAATGTTTGCATTCCTTGTGTGAGTTGGTACATGTACATAATGCACCTTGATTCTTTTTTCCCTTCCCCTTCTCCTTCTCTCCCTTCCCCCTTCTCTCCTTCCCCTTCTCTCCCTTCCCCCTCCCTCCATCTCTTCTTAATCCTTTTCCCATTTGAGAAAAATCTCTCTCCCTACTTCTTGTTTTCTTTTTATTGTGCTCTTCATTTTTTTGATTTCTTGTGTAAGAGAAACCACCTGATATTTAAGCTTGTATGTATGATTTATTTCAAACAGTATGGTCTTAAGATGCACCTCCTTTCCTGCAAATGATTCAAGTTTATCCTTCTTTATGGCAGAGCGTAAATATTCCGTGGTGTATACCACTGTCCATTCATCTGTTAATGGACATATAGCCTGCTTCCAAGCTGTAGCTGTTAATGAGCTGTTCTGCTATAAACATGTGTATGTATGTATTACTGTGATATGATGTCTTTAACACTTTTGGGAAGATACTTAGAAAGGGAATAGCTAGGTTGAATGGAATTTTCAGTTTTAGTTTTTTGAGGACTCCTTGTCCTGGTTGTACTAGTTTACATTCCCATCAACAATGTAAAAGTTTGCTTTTCTCCCACAGCCTTAACAGCATTTGTTATTATTTGATTGCTGAGTGATGGCCATTCTTTCTGGGTTAAGGTGGAATCTCAGTGTTGTATTAATTTGCATTTCTGTGATCAGTGGTGTTGAACATTT